AAACTCTTTACCTTGTTTGTCCATAGCGTATCTGGTTTATGATCCTTCGTTCCGTGTTGAAGCGGATCGCTGGAGAGATTAACGGGATATGCTGGAGGCATCGAGGGGAAATTTGCAAATGTCATACTCATCGTGGTCAATAAAATGAGGGAACCATTATTTGGCTAGATGTAAAGACGCGCGGTTAGTGTGGGGGGCGGGAGTGTGGATAGCTGTTAATGTTGATGGTCGCCTGTTTTTCATTGGAGACCGGTTACTTGTAAACCATATAAGCAGAACTATTGTGTCATACTTTGCATACGCATTCCACGCACACGTATACCTTTACGAATTGTGCAACTTGATATGGTACAAACAAATTCATCAACTGCCTGCTTTTTTTTTCTTTAGTTCTGTCAAGTTCCGTCAACTACGACTGTGGGACCAAATGTTGACATTATCAAAGAGGCACTGATGCCTATTGAAGAACCATGCCTTCCTACAAGTTAACCTCCCTCCATAGCATTGGTACTATTGTAGCATCGGCGTACATGTTGAACTTACAGCCTCCGACCGTCTCCGACTTAAGCGGCAGTTGTGTGTATATATATGATATGGTGAAAATGCTGAACTATATGTGATTTGCACAGTTGTTAACAACGCCCGAACCTCAACACGCAAAACGATCTTATTGTAACGTCTTGTTTATTGTTGTGATAGCGCGTATTGCTACGATTGTTGTTTCCGTATTGTTCAACGATCACGAAGTGGTAACAGACGATGTTGATACGTAATTTACCGTATCGTTTCTAAGCGATACAAACTGTTCGTACTTCGCCTTCGCATTTAGACGGCTATCGCGGGTTACAGGTTCAGGTCCGCAGAACATCTGGTTAATAGCGATATTTTTGCGTCGTAGCAGCGGGGCGGACACGTAATAATCTGTAGCGTACGAACGAGCTGGTACGATGTTCGTATGCGGGAGCAGTGGCGTAACATGCCGTTTAGAATGTGATAAACAAATGGGTCGGCTGTATGTTAGGGCTGCGAAACATTACGCCGTCTACAAGTAAACAAGATATTGATTCGACTGCTTTAACCAGAACAGAATAATGATCACATTATTCTGTTCTGGTTAAAGCATATGCGGAAAACCGACGCCGGGTCATCACCCTGACCCAGGCGTCACTTTTACCGTCGCTAGAAGCAAAGCAAAGTTGAAAAGTGGCTGAAAATGCAGCAGAGTGATTTCTTTGAACGCTTGTTATTGAAACCCGATAGGACCGCTGAAACGGACTCATGAGTAAGTCCGTTTTAGCGGTCCTATTGTTCAAGTATTTTAGCATGAAGGGGGTAGTTTCGAGTGACCGATGCCTCACTATCATGCGGCCTGTTATAAAGGGCAATTTGATGCAGGTCTTGACATGTCTTTTCGGACCGAAAAGGACCTCCCGCAAACGCAACCATACCGTCATCCTCCCTGGCTTAGAAAATATAGTTACCAATCTTAGCTACTGGTCGTGTCTAATTTTTTTTTTAATGCTTTTCCCGCCCTAGTCTCTTAGCGTGCCATTGTTTATTCTGATGTTATTATTATGGACAGTAGGTCGAATTCGTCATTGGAATAACAAGCGCCATGCATGGCGAGATGCGAAGAGACATTAGAGGTGGTTGTTATAGGCCAACAGCGGTGAATATCATTGCAAAAATAACAGCGTCAAACATCACTGACCGTTGAACCCTACGGGCTCTGGCGAGTCGTTATAATGCGATCACATAGATAAACGGGCAGTTTTTAGACCGCCTTAGAAGGAAGCTTGCCTGGTCTGTCTCGATATTACCCTATCGCATTTTACGCACAGATATAGTTATATATAGATATAGAGCAGAGTGAAAATCAACCGAAGTCGGACCCCGAGGCAATTTCGATGGTGAAACATTGTTTACGGTTTAAAACCTACAGGAGATAATGAGCTTTTGGTAATTAGCTATTCCCGACTGTGTATTCAGTACATTTCTGCAGACCGCATTTTGTTGATGTTCTGTTTAACTTTTATTAAAAGTTAAAAGGCTTGGTCTTCTGAATTTCGAAATAGCCTCAAATATGCAATAGTTTTATAATTCTCTGAATTGTGAGTGAATATGCCGCTCATGAATTGGCCTGTAAGAAATTAGGCCTATTCTGTAAAGGGCGAACCATCGGCCCGTCGTGTAAATGTCGTATTGTGAGACGTGAGACGAAGGAAAAAGGTTTCGCAGTTGCTGCTGTCAAAAGCTAAAATTAGGAGCTATAGCTGGAAACATATGCAATAGTCTTGGGCTGTGATACTTTTCAGTGGTCCAAAATGAATATTCTGTATTTGCCACACTCTGCCAGCTATGAATATTAACGCATACAGATATCTACGAATAGCATGTAGAAAAAACCGGCAACAGCAAAGCTTTAAGCGAATGACGTGTCAAGAAAGGCTAATACCGAAAATAGGTTTAAGTGTTTAGGTGCGACGCGCTGCCTAAAGTTACTATGACCTATAATGAAAAGCTCTGGACCACTTTGATTAACTGACGACATCCGTCAGACGTTTTTGTACAACTGAACGCTAGGCACTCGAAACAAGCACCTCGGTCGCCAAATAGAACAGCCCGCTTTGGGTAGCACAGCCATTCAATAATGAAAAAATACAGGTTGTAGAATAACATTGATTATGAAGATGAACGCGTCACCATCGAACTGCTGGCAGCGTAGATCACTGCAGATTAAAAGATGCAGTTCTTATCTCTTTACACAGAAACACACACGGGACAGGTAATTTACGAGTGGTGTGGTGGTATGCCCTCTGTGCATATCAGACCCAAAACCTTCGAAACATAGTTGATTAGCTATAGATTATATGTAGTTGAAAGTGAGCTAGAGTTAAAAAGTGTACCAGATTTATTTTCAATCTGACAATTCTATTTGTTCGAAGTGGCTATTCTTACATGGTTTTGACACACGCATACATTGCGGGAAATGTAACGAATCTCGAGCCCCCAAATTAAGGCTGATAGAAGCTGTCATAATATGCTGGTGTTTCTTCCCGAAATGGTCATGCTGTCTTGATGATTTATTCATTCATCATGATTCAGGTGTTGCCTGGAGATTTGGTAGATAATGAACCGCCGTATGATGACGTGATTGGCCTCCTTTGCCCCAATCGGTTGTCGGCAAGTGAATTTAACATTAACGTCAAAAATAGGCCGTACTAAGCAACGTTGCATCTGGTCCATTAGCTACCTGCATCATTTAGATAGCATGTCTGGTTGATGGCCTGCGATAAGTTGCGGCTCGGATGGCTCATTATATCATTGGAATCTGTGAGTCAGGCCATCTTGAATGAACACGTGCCCCAGTTCATTTTGGGCGACTATTTTTGTCATGTTACTAATCGTCGTTTTCATTTTACGACAGAAATGACCTCGACCAGCTCGAGCAACAGGCGGAATCCTTTTAAATGTATATTGTTCATATCTATGATAAAATATCTGCTATCTCATCTATGCGGTAGCGGGTGTCTCGTGAACAGCTATCCGATCGAGGGTGTACTCGTATATTGTGTGTGTTGCGTGATAGCGGTGACTCACTGTGAGCTTGCATTCTATAGCGGCCCAGTTTTTTGCCCCCGCAGCAACCGACTGGGACTTTAAAGTAGTTTAGCGTTTTTTTTCTGGCGGGATGAAATGCCGTTATTGATAGCTGTTCAGTGGTTGATCGTGCTGCATGTAGGACCGCACACACAGGTTGCGGGTTGCGAAGGCAAGACGAATTGACATATTTATGGGCTTAACATTGTTGCGTAGCTGACAACGAAGATAACCCGCCAACGTAGGCAATGGGCAGAAGCGACTCTCAGACGAGCAAGGAAGCAGCCGTCCTCGCGTCACTTGGACCTCGCGAGACCCGCGGCATTCAATCTGAGTAAACCTTCTTGCAATAGAATTCATGCAGCCTTTTGACGTAGGTTTGTTATTCCGAAAAGGCGTCAAGAGCGTATAATGTCTGCTACGAGGACGTTTTTGTGCAAGGAAAGACATCGTTTAGAGGCTGAGATATCATTCCGCTACACACTATGCACATACATTATTTTTAGAAGAGTATTCGAACATTATACCAAGAAGATTTCTGCTATTTTAAAGTTTTTTTTTTTTTTTTTTATTATAAAAATATAACAGTGGTAATTCGTACACACGTGTTTTGAATACGCCTGTTTCATATTGTATCTCAACGTCGGTATCGCTGACGGACACTTGATTTAATGTGAGCAATTTCCTCCTATTCGTGTGTGGCAGGGCGCGTATTTGCACCGCTGTAGGACCATCGTCCTCTGTACCGTTGTTTCGAGGCACTTAATATTTTGTCGTACTTTTTTCTTCCAAAGTAACCACGGTCACACCAAAATCAGATCGATGATTTCGTGAATATATACCTTGCTAGTAGGCTTGATAGAAATTAGCTCTTTCCACAGATGTTTCAGTTTCGCCTTTTCTTTCGCCCTCCTGACATGCTTCACTTGATATATTTATTTATTTATTATTTAATGATACTTTTAGTGCATTATATGCTAATAGAATGATTTAGACCAGCAACCCCTTCATATTTTTATTCATGAATAAGGAGCCTGGAACCATCCGCCGTCGACATATCCTACACGACAAATATGATTAAATTCTAAGAAATATTTTATCAAACCGTCTCCATAAAACCTATTCCCTGTGCCGTAAAATGTCAAGCTCCACGCCGTTGGGGGTTTGAAAACTCAGGTGAATGTCGACGGTGGATGACATCTTTTTTATTTATAGCTCGCAACACTTTACGTTACTAGTTTTACTATAGCTTATGGAGTTGATGGCCGCCTTGGCAAAACCAAATATTAACATAGTACGCTAGACTAGTACAATATTTTTATTTAGTGATTCGCGTTAATTGCTATTTTTCTGACGTGACGACTTGGCCCTATTTATTTGTTTTTCAATACCTTTTCAAGGAGTACCTGGATGACTCAGACGAACCGGACCGTGGTGTGGATGTGGCCAATTTCCGGGCCGGTTTCTCAGGGCCGCGTAACTTTACGCTTGTACAATCGCCCACCCGAGAGGACAAGGCACCCTTGCCGCCATCAGTTATCTCGCTTGACTTTCAGCGAGTTTCTATCACAGGTTGGTAAAAAGATTTATCTTTTTTTAAAGAGTTTTACAATTATAACCGACAAGGAATATTTTAGTGGCACATAAATTCGACCGCGTAAACAGGTCGCGCAGTAATTAAACGTATCTGACATGGGTCAATAGGTATTTATGTCTGTACTATATATATATATATATACATATAATAATAATACTTACACTATCGCCGCTTATAGGCATTTAGGGCCGCACTGAAATGTAAGTCAGTGGGAGTCAGCGCTTATATCAGTCGTGCAAAGCCATACATTTGAGACCTAATGTTTCTCCAACGCTTGAAATAGCGTACAGACCCTTGGCGCCATAAACAGTTCCAATGTAAGTTTGGGGTCCGCATATACATCCTCTATAGAAAATTCTTGGCAGTTAATTACGCATTGAGATACAGTTCGTAATGTATTAAATAAATACAATATTAGGATTAGTAGGACAACATGGTAAACGACAAGGAAATATCACCTCTTCTGCAAATCTCACTTTTTTCTTTCCTGGCTGCTATGTTATATAACCAGATGCAGCGCAGACAGTTAGCCCCGAACGCATACAAACGCTCTATGTTATTCGTTGCGTGTAGATTTTCTTTTCTATCATACGGGCTTAATTTGAAAGGTCGTTGGTTAGCAGTTACTGTTGCAGATTCTAGACTATTTGAAAAGCCCGCTGGAGTGGTCTGATATGAGAGGTAGCTAACGTTGGCGCAATATCACTATTGAGCAAGCATCGACTCGCAACTTAATGGCATTGTACTATAACGTATTGTTGCTTTCCCTGTTGCACTCACATGCCGATACGCAATACGTAAATCTGGAAAGAAATGTTGTTTTTTACATTACGACAACAATAGCCGGCGGCTGGAACAGTGGCATGGCAGCACCGTCACGAACACCATTGACAGCAGCGACAACATGAAGAATAATGACAGCAACAGCGCCACCAGCACCAACAAGAAAAGACAAACTTGTTTGTCCAGTTCTTAGTATTGCCCTTGTGGTTATTCTTCTGACACCAGCGCCAACATCAGAATCATAAAAGAATATCTGCATTAATGTTGTTCATGTAGCACAGATGGATTCGCGAGTAACATGCTCGCAGCTGGACTGCAGGCTTAATAAACAGAACCGTAGACTGGAAGAGGTTGCTTGTCAGTGTAAATCACTTTTCGTGTTAGGATTCCAACCCAAGACTTTAGAGCTGATTACGTCCACGTAAAAATCGTGCAGTATCTATGGGAATATTATTGGTGACGATAAATGTTTAACCTGCAGTATGGCGATCCTCCGCCTGTGTCGGTTTTCAAGGAAATGTTCCTCACATTTCCATGAGAATGGCTGAGCTCCTTGACTAGACAATTCACTGAAAAAACATTCTTTGAGAATCTGTGCTTTCCTAATGGATTTTCTTAGTCTGTGTACGACCGGACTTGAGCTAGAAAATTATACATTTTCCATATGCACTACGACACGCCATTGCGCTTATGGTATTCTAAGTTGGTTGTGACAATAGCTGTACAGGGTTGATTATCTCTGTAAATGTTTTGCAGGCGAGGACACATCTGGAGTTCCATATGAAGACCTTCTTACAGCTGCCAGTATGCTTGTTAGTGCCCTCATTATGCGGCATAAATACTGCAAAGCTTCCCTGCAACGATTCCCAAAGGTACGGCTAGAGCCCGAGAAAATTTGTCGAATCCATCAGGCCACGAATCGCCTTAATGTAACAATTACTTGGTCGGATTATAGCTTAAATACAATCCATTCAAAGGACAACCAGAATTGTCTCAGTTCCTAATGTTTATCAAAATCCTAATTCGTGCTTTCAGGTTACGGAGCACTTCATATTCGGCGGTTCGAAAACGTCAGATTACGAGACACCGCCGTGTAAACTGGAACCGGAGTACGTGCACACTGAACCTCAGAAGGTTTCTGATCCATGGTGTGTAGCTAGCGGAATGAATTCGGCTGGACTTTCGTTTGAAATGCATGATGGTGTCGTGCAGGCATGTAGCTCAAAGGGTGAGATCCAGCCATTCCAGTTTATCACACTGCAGGAATTCATTCGCGATATGAATCTCTTGTGCGCGATGATCTCTGACGGGCCGCTGAAATCCTTTTGTTACCGTCGACTTTCCTATTTAACGAACAAGTTCTCAATGCACGTCTCGCTCAACGAAATGAAAGAGCTGCTCGCCCAGAAGAGCGTACCTCATCGGGACTTCTATAACATTCACAAGGTTGATACGCACGTGCATGCCGCTTCGTGTATGAATCAGAAACATCTACTACGGTTCATCAAGAAGAGGATTAGAGTGGACGCCGATGACGTCGTATGCAAGGTATTCACGTAGCTCTTGTATAGTTTTAATGTTTCGTGTGGCAATAATGGTCATTAGTAATGCTCGAGTGCGACTGGTTGCCTGAATTAGCATAGAGGTTAACTTTGGTCGGCATCGAACAACACAGAAAAGTTAGAACAACACTCGGAAGTATGACGGTATTTTCATCAAACCCGTCAACGGCTCATGGAAAACCTATGCGATAAAATAAACTTATTTATTATACACACAATGTTTTTCGTTTGTAGGATAAAGTAACCGGCGAGATGACTCTACGTCAAATGTTTGAAAAAATGAATCTGACAGCATACGATTTAAGTGTAGACACGCTTGATATGCACGCTGATCGGAACACGTTCCACCGATTCGATAAGTTTAATGACAAATACAATCCAGTTGGTGAATCACGCCTTCGGGAGATCTTCTTGAAAACCGATAATTATATAGGAGGCAAATACTTTGCTGACATCATTAAGGAGGTTAGTAGCTTTTTATTGAGTGCACCTTAACTTTATTTTAAAAAGGATGATTAAGTTATTGTGATTACGTACGACGTCGGGGCACCAGAGTAGAACTCATCTGTAAAATAAACTATATTTTTTTTCTCTATGGTCACCTGGTTTAGCGAGCTGATACTTACCTAATCGTGAATCTTTGCAGGCATAACATTTTTTATGAGTTCATTTTTCTACGGGTAGATGTCAAGTTAATCAACTAATAACATGAATGAAACAATAAAATCTCATTTAACGGAAATATCCAAAGCTTTCAACCTATTTTCGAAATAAGACTCGTTGTTTTTCCTGGGATTTTTTTACACCTCCTGTAGGTGATGTCTGACCTTGAAGATAGCAAATATCAAAATGCAGAACTTCGACTATCAATATATGGACGATCTCGTAACGAGTGGGATACGTTAGCCAAATGGGCATTGCAGCATAACGTCTATTCCGACCACGTACGATGGATCATCCAAGTAAGACTCGTACCCATGCGACTTAGTAAGGATATTGGAGTATGCTACTAGATAACTGGAGAAGTATAAAGGTCGCCCTTTACAAGGCTTTATGCTACTAGCTAATCCTTTAGTGATATTTGGTGCTTCTTGTCCATTCATCTACTGCTAAAATCATTATCATTAACTATTACAGATACCCCGTATCTACGATGTCTTCAAGGCGAATAAAATTGTGGACAACTTCGAACAATTTCTTACAAATATCTTCCTTCCGTTGTTCGAGGTAACAAACGATCCGTCCAGCCACCCTGAGCTGCACCAGTTCCTCAACTACGTCATTGGACTAGACTCGGTTGACGATGAATCGAAGCCCGAATATCCCATGATCGACAGAGAAGTGCGAATAAAACTGTTACTATACGCTATCCCTATATATAGCGTATATATATACGATATCCCTATATATATCCCTATATATCCCTATATATATCCCTATATATATATATATACACCACATCTTTCGTTCGATTCGTGGCGTGTATATGGAGTGCGTCTGTGAGTCAAGAAGATTTCCTATATCGAAATAGAAATAGCAGACGTATAGATATGTACGGTGTAGGAAATGTTCAATATGTCGTCCCTTATAGGCGTAATGGAAACTGCTACTTGTATCTTACAGGTTCCACTTCCAGCCTCGTGGTCACACGAAGAGAATCCAGCCTACGTTTACTATCTTTATTACATGCACGCCAATATGGCTGTTCTTAATCACTTCCGTAAATCACGTGGACTAGAGACGTTCGTACTGCGGCCACATTGCGGCGAAGCCGGGCCTATTCAGCATCTTGTTGGGGGTTTCTTATTGTCTGAAAGTATCAACCACGGACTGCTTCTAAGGAAGGTTTGTACATGCTCTCTCTAGTCAACAGTATATATGTAAGACCACATGTTATTGCTGAAATGAAGGGAACACCTATTTTTCAGGCCAGTATCGTGTCTAGTTGAGCATGAAGATTTAGAGACTCGATAGCCTCATCCATGGCGTTTACGGTTGTAGCAACACCTATCTGCGTGCCGTAGACGAAATGAAACCATTTCATCTGACACATTTTATGAACGGTCATTATGCTGTTTTGAGTATTGATACTCGGCTTGCCCCTGTCGCTGCTGCGCTCGCTCTGCATGATCTAACAGTGCTTACAATTTTGTGGATTCCTTTTTGTAGGTACCTGTTCTCCAGTACCTGTATTATCTGTCGCAGATCGGCATAGCCATGTCCCCATTATCGAACAACTCGCTCTTTTTGAATTACCACCGTAACCCACTTATTGAGTATCTCAATCGTGGGCTCTGTGTGTCCTTATCAACAGACGATCCCCTCCAGTTTCATTTTACCCGTGAACCACTCATGGAGGAGTACTCAATCGCTGCTCAGGTGAGCAAGCTGTAACCCTTATAACACAAAAATATATATAATGGGGGTTACGCGGCACCGCAAGGGGCTACGACCATATCGTACTGACCAACCATAACGTCTATTTAATATTTTCCTGTTGTAGAAACAATATTTCGCTCTCCGATCCAATGTTCTTTCGTATTAGATTACTAATTAGTTGTGGCATTACTTTCGATTGATGTTGTACAGGTCTGGAAGTTGAGTAATGCAGACATGTGTGAGCTAGCGCGAAACAGCGTACTCATGAGCGGTTTCCCTGAACCCTTCAAGCGACACTGGTTGGGCGCCGGCTTCGAGCGGGAGGGCGTTGAAGGCAACGATGTCAGGAAGTCCAACGTGCCCGACATTCGCGTTGCCTACCGGTGCGTGCAGCGAAATTCGGCCCAAATCAAATCTTCCTTCCGAAGCTAAATATAATTAGCCTCAAACCTAACCTAGCTATCGATGTGCCAACATTGATCCATATTTTCGTTCTTTTTTTAAGAGTTCTACAAGTACTTTAATGAAGCTCGAATTTAAACATTTCTGTGTGGCTTCTGATTCTTTTCAATTGTGGATTTCAGAGGCTAGTCAGGATTTTGACTTGCCGAAATGTTTCTACCTCGAGCGTATCGCAATCGACCAACTACTGCTAGCCAAAAAAAAAGAGAAATAATCTTTTAAAAAACCTTTACCTAACGCTCACATATCTTCGTTTTTGTGTGTTACTATGACTCGTTTGAATTTTCAGATTTGAAACGCTTGTTGAAGAATTGGACATGTTTTCTGCAGTAATGCAAAAAAGACGGGCCGAATTCAACCAATAGAATTATCCTAATTATTAAGATTTACGTATCAACCAGTTCACAATAATTATTCTCATTACTAATATGACTTACTGCTTTAATATTAGATATGATAGCTTTAGCTCAATGGCTACATATGATATAGATCTCGGTTTGAGAAGCATTCTACTAAGCTGGATATTCTGTAAAAGGTTCACAAAACTGATCACGGTCAACGACGAGCGATTTGCCTTAAATTATGGCCCGAATAGGTTGAATCTATTGTGTAATAATAGAATTGTATAAGGTAAAAAGATAGGTATCTTAACATGGAGGGTATGCTGGGCCGATACAGCATCGTGCTTGCCGGATTGTTGATCTCGGCAGGCCTCGTAGACTACGAACCTCACCGGCAAAACCGTCCCGCAGCATGTTGACCATATCAGCAGCATCACCCTTTGGCTGTGACCTGTTTGGAAACTGAAGCAAACGAATATCTGTATTGGAGAGCAAGTTAGAGATAAAAGTTTAACCAAACGAACCTGAAGGTTAGCAGCGGACGCCGTAGACGATAATCGTGAAGGCTCCTCCCAAACGGCCTCGCATATGACGACGTACCCACACTGGTCCACGTACAATCATCACGCGATCAAAGACTATATTATCTTATACATAGATATGTATAAGCATATCAAGAAAGTATATGTCAAAAAAATGAATAATAAAGAGAGCTTATTTACTCAAAAATATAGCGTGGCATTATCTTTCTAACGGCAAGTAATTATGTTCACTGTAGAAATACCCAATATTTCTATCCGTCTTCCATGTGAAGCCGATAGTCGAGCTTGTATTTGGGATGCAGCATGGATTTAATTTTCGGTTTTTTTTTGCTAAGCAGGCCACTTTGGTTGTGTTTATGTACGTTTAATATTGAATACCAATATATATAGTCATAAACACTACTTCATAAGGAATTTGTTTCGTTCCATATGCCGCTCCCTCACAGGTCTCTCAAAAATGACTAATTATAAAAAATTTTCTTATGCTGTAAACATAAATGAAAATTGTTACACAAATTAGATATATCGAAGATGATTATCAAATTGAATTCATGTTTGATTATTGCAGCAAGGTACAAATATCTTCAGTTACTTATATTGTGTTCTCACACCAGCTAGCTAGTCCCTATGCTGATACGTGTTCCCCCTACTGAACTTAAGCGTACGTGACGGTTTTCGTTCCCAGCCAAAGGTAAGGGAGCATGTGTCCGACTTCGGCGATATCTGTGACGTAACGATAGAAATAGAGCTATAATGTCATGATGAACAGATCCCGTAATTATTCATTTCCAAATTGATCTTGTTTAAAAAACAATTTAAAATATAAAATTAAAATTTTTATTTTTTTTTTAATTCAAAATCAAAAATAAAATAAAGTGTGCATATAGAAACATTGAGTTTCTATGTGATTTGAATATATTCTATGAAGTTATTGTGCCATATGTATGTGTCTTCATCGCTCGCGCTTGTATCGACAACTGAGAACGACATTTGATCGATGCATTTTTAGAACATTACTTGAGAGCATTCTTTACCACTCTGTATTTAAATAATAATAACATCACGCATCGCATAACGTATCACTCGCGTACACAGTAAGGTTTGCGACTGAAAGTTGGAACAACAACAGTTCTACGATCTCGTAGAAATCAGCTGCCCGTGTACGTCCCTGTTGATTCAGGCGGCGTACGATGGCGGTAGCATCAAAGCAGACGATGAAGTGCACTGTGAAGCTATTACTACTGACGGTAAGTTAAATTACGTACTATTTTTTTTTGTATGTTGTGACGGGGCTTGAACCAACTACTTGTGGATGCCTAATATGATACCAGATTACTGGAATCAGAGTGTATTGCAACGGTAATATATTAAATAGCATATTTACGATCTGAGAACGTATGAATTCAGTTTATCTTCAGTGATGCGATATAGATATTAAGTTGATCATATTCGCTTAGCCGAGGTAGACCACGAAACTGGGAGTTAACTAATAGAACGAATAAAAGTAAGTTGATCTAGATCCGTCAGCTGTATAAACCGATCTTTAAAGTAAGTACTCGACGTAAAACTCGCAACGTTCATTCATCTTATTCAGGTCCAGGGTTGACGTGCTTGTTTACCAAGCTTGACGATCTGAGTCCAAAATAGGATGTAAGCACAGTTTGTTTCATGCCGACAGGGGCCCCTGTTCATCTCAAGCAATGTTTAACTAAAGCAGTACCTTACGAAGAACTCGAACTATTTCTTCAGGTAAGCATGCTTAAATGTACGCAATAGCGTAAATGCAACACTCTGCCAAGGACTTTAGATCTTTGCTCTGAATCTGATGCGCCAGAAGTGGTAGCCTGTCGGCGGTACTTACAGCGTAGGCTCCTGTTAGACGGCAACTACGTTTAACGTAGTAAAAGGGCCCTCACTGAAATTGATATGTCAAGCTTTTTTGTCTGATTTTGATTGTAACAATGGTGCCAATTTTCAGGGCGTCAGTTCCTCTTACTTGGATTCTTTCTAATATTTTGTTACATCAAACCTTAAAAAATTAAAACAATAAACTTGCTTGCGTCGCACAGTATTCCTAAATGTGACAGACGTCAGGGCAAGGCCTTACCCTTACCTTCACCTAGCCATTGTTTGGTGTACATAGTAATTGATTCAAGACGACGTAATCGCTTGGGGTACATTATGAAAAACTGGGTCCTTTACCGACGAGAATGAAGATGTTCTTTGGTGTGTCAAACTTCGGTGTGACGTACGTCATATCCTAGGGTTCGAGAATTTCTCTGGACACAACTAATGCGGAAGCCGTAATACGCGGACAGACCTCGTAGACGCATAGCTTCCGATAAGTATATGGTTTTCATTCACTTGTACCCAGTAAGATGAAATGCAGCACTATTGTTAGAGTTGGGAACACCAAGCTGTTTGGCTGTCATGCGAACGGATGGTACGACAATCTGTATCAAGCTTGAAAAATCAAAACTTCATAATTTCAATGAGTATTATTAGGCGGGATAAGGCCCAGCCAATTTCTATTCTCGCTGTCAAGAAATCGTATGTAAATTGTAAGTATTAACGAAGTGTTTCTTGCTTTCCGTAGTGTTATGTTGACAGGTTGATCATAGGGCATCGAAAATGGAAAAAAACCGTCGATCCGACCAAAGAGAATCCCATCAATTCTCAATGAAAATAGATCATGGATTTACACCTACGATGAAGGTTAGAGTGTGCACCAGTATAGACAATCTATCGTTGCTAACATTAATCAGTATACACGGAGAACGCCGAGGAATGGTTAGAAGCGCCTGTAGGTCAGTCAATTAATCGATATCTATTCGAGAAGGCACTCCAGGATTTTCGTAATTTTTTTTATAGTTTCTGAGACAGTATGTCATAAACTTGGCGTTGTGTACTGTGTACTCTAATATATAGGGAAGTACATACTTTCCTGCAGATTGGAGGATCGTATGGAGTATTGCGAGCCAGCGTCAGTGTCACGGTCGTTATTAAAAAAACTTCGCTTGATGAGGCTTTTTAGCTGACCTATTTTAGTCCAAGTCTTGTTATGTTAAAGCAGACCTATGCGTAGAAAGGACTTATTCTAGCGCAATCATGTAGCAAAAATAAACATTTTACATATGGATAATATATTTGTGATTGAACTGCAAAGGCTAAATATAAACGAGGCAGATAGAACGCATTTGCTCCCGGTATTGTCGTAGACGTTTGACGGTTGGAAAAGAAAAATCAACTGAGCACGCTTAGCTCAAGAAAATCGGCTTTCTTAGTGAGTATTTGGTTACTAAGGTTGTTTCACTGACAGGTCGACGTTAGATATACGATCCTTAATGTATATAATAGAGCATTTTTGCCTCTACGGTTCTGTATCTATCGTCCAGATAAACCAGGGTTTACCCGTATGACAGCTTTGCCCACTGCCACTTCATGATTTACCTACGTCTTCATTCATTTATTCCTAAGTACGACCAGACCCTTGCGTTTGCAATTAGTATGACGTCTTTAACATTCTGACCTGAATTCCTTAGGAATATTTAGACGAGTCCGATGACGTGGAAGAAGCACCCAATCTCAGTTGCCGACTCAGTGTATATGAACGCCCCAGGAAACAATCGGCTTCTACAGAGGCAGCCCAGTTGGACGTTAGTCTCCTGTCACCTAATACTATAGCGCTGGACTTCCAGAGAGTGAAAATTACAGGCATGTTCAATCAAGTTAGTGAACAATTCCCATTTGTTAACAATATGAAATTGATGTATCCTCTCTCGTAAAGCCTATGCCCTAAAAACACTTTTCTCAAAGGACTCTACGTAGCTAAAATTTATTTAACTAACATTATATATCGAAATGTGCTTTATCTCGCACTGCAGTTGGATTAGCTATAAATTAGGAAGGAGTTGACGAGGAAGATCTGCGCACAGTCTCTAATAGGTCGAGCAGTACCACTAACTCTTCGCTTTCTAGAAACGATGTAAAAACTATTTACAAGTGTTAGTCTACTCGAAAACCAGTATTTGGTACGCCTTACGTGTCTTACGCTCCGCATGTGAACGGTTAGCGACTGGTAATCAGTACCTCATCACAACCAGCTAGTTCAATCAGAATGGTATATGTTACTTATGAGGTCCTTTATCTTACGATTACTTGCAGGCCACGATATTTCGGGAGTGCCATTCGAGGAGTTTTTCTCGGCCTCTACTGCGCTCATCAACGCGCTTAAAATTCGGATGAAATATTGTAAAGCTGTTTATCACTCGTTTCCCAAGGTTGTCCGTCGTTTTTCGTTTGCTTGTAATTGATCGTCTAAGATTGTCACCATAGGCACCATATTTCGTTAATGATCAACAACGACTGCCTCAATGATTTTTTTCTCTAGAAAGTAGAAATTGAATTTCAGCTCATCGAAGATAAAGCCATATGTCCATGCAGACCCTCGTTGACGTTATATTGTAATTAGCATTATAGGTGACAGAAAGCATTATCACAGGCACGGTGAGTCTTGGCTCGTATGAAACGCCTGCGCTCAAGTTCGAACGGGAATACGTTCACACAATACAGCAGAAACCAACTGACCCGTTTTCATTTCCAATGACTATGGGGTCTGTGAACTGCACGATACGCATGCGAAACGGTATCGTTGGGGTCCTCACATCTCCTACTGAATCGGCGAGCAAATTCGAGTACACAAGCCTCTCGGAGTATGTGCAAGACCTAAACACTATGTGCTCCATGATCTCGGATGGGCCGTTGAAGTCGTTCTGCTACCGGCGACTGCAGTATTTGACCAACAAGTTTGCTATCCATCTTCCGCTAAATGAACGAAAAGAGCTCCAGGCGCAGAAGTGTGTATCCCATCGGGACTTCTACAACACGCACAAGGTCGACACTCACATTCATGCTGCGTCATGTATGAATCAGAAGCGTTTGCTCCGATTCATCAAAAATAAACTCAGGACCGATGGCAACAAGATCGTATTCAAGGTTCGTGTTGGATCGCAGGGTTAGTTCGCTTATCGATTCTTCGACATGAAGTAGTAGTGGAGGAATACTAAAGGTAACGTAATTTAGGTAAAAAAATGGGCTTAGAACCAATTTAAAGGAAATGTGTGACCAGTATGCGATAGGCTTTATAGAGGTGAAGATAACTTATTTTCAGTTTAATACATATCTAAGCATGTGATTCGATTATTCTGAAGCTTGTAGCAGAACCAATCTGTATATAATAACAAATTCCTTTGAATTTTTAACAGGATCCAGATAAGGGAGAACTAACATTGCAACAAGTGTTCGACAGGTTGAACTTAACTGCTTATGATCTCAGTGTTGATACTTTGGACATGCACGCTGATAAAAATACGTTTCATCGTTTTGATAAGTTCAACGATAGATACAATCCCATTGGAGAGTCGCGTCTTCGAGAAATATTCCTCAAGACGGATAACTATATGGGCGGAAAGTACTTCGCCGAAATTATCAAAGAGGTGAAGGCACAAGCTGTTCTGTGTAATATTATGTTCGCTTCGAGCTTTATAGATATAACTATGAAGTAGTAACAGGTTTCTAAAGTACTTCCGTTCTATTCTAGCCGAGAATTACATTATGTATAATGTAATTCTCGGCTAAGAACGGATATACACTTAACCAATTTGGTGTACTTTTAATTTAACGACTGTTCAGGCGTAGGGGAAAGGCAAAATAGATGAGTATATGGGTATATGGGCGTAGATTTCTGATCAATACAAACAATATTATGGAACACAAAAGCAATAAGAACTTCGCGAAAATCGATATCGTCTTGTCGAGACATGTATGGCGTTGTCTGTTGTGCTTGGTACGTACAAGATTACTTGCCGTGTTATATCTTCCATCGGTGCTGTATTCGTTTCTTGTAGTGATAAAGAAATTTGAATCATCACTAATTGAGTGCCGTCCTTCATCTAGGTGATGGTTGAGCTCGAGGATAGCAAATATCAGAACGCAGAACTACGACTATCTGTGTACGGGCGCTCGAACAAGGAATGGGACAATTTGGCCAGATGGGCCATTCAGCACCAAGTGTACTCCGATCATGTGCGATGGCTTATACAAGTGGGTGACATTTTAAGCAGCGTGAACATAAAAACAAAAAAAACTATATAAACCTAACATCAAAGGAATGATAAGTGAAATCAGTCTCCCTTTAGCGTTCTCGCTTTTTCTGTTCATCAAGAACAATGTCAAAGCAAGGTCATATATATATCTGAAGGTGTATACTATCTGAAGTCGTCAATCAGTCGCTAGGTAGGTAAAAAGATAAAAACTATTGTGGGTAGATCTGCTTTAGATTATTAAAAACAAGTGCATAACGAAGGAGGAAAAGGTCGCGAACATTCGTTATGAGCAGTCCATGTGATCGCTGTCGGTTGGGCGTCTATTATGCACAACTATGGCCTCCGAGGTAAATCCGTAGTGGCATATGTGTGTCCACCAACTGCCTTTTTCTGGGCCTGAAAAGTCTAATCACCTCAGTATGAGGTCGGGATATTAATAGGAATTGAAATCTCGCGTTGTCCTCAGGTCCCTCACGATCTACTTTTGATGGCGGTAATGCATTATTGTCTTTCGGGTCATCTCTTAGCTGGTTTGTAGCACTTGTTTCCGTTCTCGAAACGTCTGTGTTTGTGCTTCAATATTCGATATTATAACACCAATATTCGACGAATGTCCGCCTGATGCTGTGGCCTTTGAAGAAACCAACCAAGCCTGAAGAAACCAACGATAGGCTACGGAGCATTGATTTTTTTTCCTGGAATAAGCTCTCACATGTTTCTAGATGAATGGAATGTTTGTTAGTCAAATTTTGTTTGTTAGCGGCATGTAGTAGAACTCTTCTTTTTGGGATTTGCTTGTATACTCATGTATGTATAGACGGTAGGCTCCGTACAGAGATGATGTATCCGAGTACCGGGAACATGCAATATAATAAATATAAAAGTTAAAAATCACTCTCGAGCTGTTGACTCAGTTAAATCTGTCCGTACTAGTGAGGTAGTAAATTTGTCATGCCGCCGTCTGCTACCCCAGAAAACTCGGTTCTGCAGAACTCGTTTCGCAAAAAGCAAATATTTATAACGACAAACGACGATAAACTCGGCAGATACCAAAGGATTTTTGTAGGAAGCTGAAATAGGAAACGTTGTGTACCGTGAAGAGTGTCAGTTATAGACAGTTACAGCTTAAAGGGTGCGAAGTTGCATTATCACGAAGTGTAATGATGAACCAGTTCCGTTCTGAAAAAGTAATAACATAGTCTGTCTAACTTACGTCTCGTACAGATACCTCGTCTCTACGATATATTTAAGGCAAATAAAAACATCGATAATTTCGAGCAGCTTCTCGGAAACTTCTTTTTGCCATTGTTTGAAGTAACGAACGATCCTAACACTCACCCAGATTTGTACCAGTTCCTTCATTACGTGACCGGTTTTGATTCTGTCGACGACGAATCGAAGCATGAGGATCCCATGATCGATAAAGATGTAAGTGTCGACAAGTGACTATAGCTATTACTATCACATGCTTTTTTTTGCAGTATCTACACTTTGTTTGGACGAGTGTTTAAACGCCTGCGCACCTAAAAAAAACGTGTTAATCGCGTCGATAGTGTATTTCTGCCTTTAT